ATGCCTTTTAAATTCGAATATAATTCGAATATTGATAATATTTAAGTTAAAAAAATCTAATTTCGTTTTTCAGCCATTTTGACAGCCCTAATGTATATACATAAAAAAAATAGAACAAATCAACATTTTAGAATTCTATGAACAATTTAGAATTCAGTCTCACTGTAAAAGGAACTTTGTGAGTTTGCGAACCGAAGTGACACCTCTTTAGTCATTATTAAGTAAGGGCTATTCGCGCACTTTCTAGGCTAAATATAATCCGTTCAGAATTTGAATCAAAGTTTTGTTTTTCGTGCTGCTAACGGCCATATCACCTGTACAAGCAGCAAGGTTTCGGTAGTGATGCGAGATTCATTTTCGAATGGGAATAAAAATATGATTTCTCAAAACAGATGGTCAAGCAATGCATATTAATAATTTAATAGAAAAATATTTGAATTTTCGTATTTTATTGTATTGTTAATAAACTTATTGTTAAAATGTGTTGCAATTATCTATAAAAGTAATGACTAGTGAATCTTGCAATTCTTTCACTGTACATTGCTATTCTTGTTGTGGTAAAAAGTTAATAGTTGTGCAGCAGTGCAAGTTATTTGACATAATTCTATGATAAAACACAGTACCATCATGACATTAACTACTAGGCATGTCCAGATGTCAGACAAAACTCTCCTGACAGGTGTTTTATATAGGCCTATATATATATATATATATATATATATATATTGATTGTTAATTAAAAAAAAAACACTTTCTTACATTTTAGAAATAATAGTTTTTTGGCATATTATATAATATATAAAAGTGATTGTTTTTCCATTTCATAATACTTGAGATTTCTTGTAAGCACTGTAAATGAAAGGTCAAGCCCACCGCATTATGGGTAACTATTCCACAGTATGCATACTGCACATTTTAGGAAATGTAGCAGGACAACCAAGTATTCTGTGCACACAGGAAATTCTTATACTGTGTATACTGCATGCATAATACAGAAATAGAGTTGCAATATAGTATTGCATTCTGCCCTTTTTCTCTTACCACATTTCTGTCGCTATCTTTCAGGAAATTACGTTTTCTTCTGTGAGTCAGGGGGCTGTAAATTGAGGACAAATTCTTGTCATTGCTCATTATTATGAACTGTTTACTACTACATAGCAAAAACACAAATAATTCATATCAATATTTACAAAAGAAATGGTACCTAGGGGTCTCGGGAACAAAAGTGGAAGAAAATTCATGGAAGTGTCCAAGGTCTTCAAACAGGGGGTCACTGTCATTCAACAGACAGGCATTATTCAGGGAATCCGGTGTGTCTGGCTCCAAACAGGGACTGTAAAGAGTACTGCCTGGCTCTGAGTTCTCCTGGATGTCATCCATCTCTTCGATTACGGCTTAATGTATATATACTTTGGCTATAGCTGACAGACTGTGTGCAGATGAGTCTGGGAAGAGGAAAACAATACAGGAAGATACATAAAAGCCTCTGTACGCGTATTAAGACTGTGAAGCTACATAATTACGCTCACTTTAAATGTAAATATTTTATACTTCATATCTTAATGATATGTTGAAACGTACAGACTTTTGCTAGTTAAAAAGCGTTCATTATATTCGCTGACAGTCATTCGCGATCCTCCGCGTGTTTGTGATAACAACAGTACTGAGGTGTGAAACTGATCTGTGATCGGTTGGATTCTACGTTTAATCGAAGACGCTGGTAAACGGTTAGCAAGTCACATTACATTAAGATCGCCTAAATGGCCATAGTTTACAAAAACTTCGTGTTTTTATTGTGGAATTGAAATACGGTAACTTTACTCACCATCTTTACGAAACATACCACTACGAAAAGCAAAAATCTTCGCTTAGATACCGCATCAGCGAATAGCGAAGTCACAATGGAAAACACCGTCATAGAAGTGTCGGTTTGTCTTCCGGTTACGCCACTTCCGGTACAAGGATCGTTAAGTTTGCATTTAAAGGACCCTGACATTTTTACTTATTCTCATATGAAGAAATAGCCTTGTATACTTCTAATAGCAAGTCCCTATGTATATATTATATATATATATATATATATAGCGTGACTTTTATGGGTAAATTATATTTGAACCCACACCCACTCTCTCCTTAGCTCTGTTTCTCCCTCTTTATGTCTCAGTTGTTTCGGTGTGTTTTATTGGCTTGCCAAAAACTAGCCTGTGACGTTGATGTGCCCTGGGCAGAGATGTTTCAAAGCCCCCAAACACATTGCTTTCACAGTTTGCACTACACACACTGTACACATGTGCACAATACAAAATACCAAGGTCAAACAAACATACATACATACAACAGGCAACAAAATCCATCTGTAAGTGAGCAGGTGTGTGTGTGTGTATCTAGGTGTAGGGGTGCAAGCATAGCAACCTAAGAGTTTCTATAAAAGTATTAGATAGTAAGAACAACCAATAATAATAATAACAACAACAACAACAATAATAATACTTAACATATACATAAAAGAATGAATAAATAAGGTATATCTATAAAAATATAATAGATAAAACAATAGTAGAAACGAGTAATAATGGCATTGATAATGACAATAAAAATAATAAACTAATTAGGCCTACCTCAAGACTGGAAGAGGGAAGGGGGCTGGCGGACAAGGAAGAGGGAGAATGATAATAATTGCAGTAATTGTATAGTTAGCAGTAATAATACTAATGCCATTTGCACTACTACAACTAATAATAATAAAAATAATAGTAACCATAGTAACCAGTATTCTTGAGGGGGCTGAAAATAAATGAAGGCTTGGGGTAGAAAAAATACCATGATTACAAAAAATGCCCACAAAATTTAAGCAGGTGCACTATGTTATATGCAAGTTAATATTTAGTGACACAATATACATATAGTAATAATATAGTCTGTTTTCTTAGGTCCTTGAGGTACCTTGTGTGTGTGTGTGCGCTTTTTTTTTTGTGATGTACGTGAGTCAGCTAATGTGTGATGCATTAAAAAAGTAAGACTGACCAGGACAAAGGCCAGGCCACTTATCCTGTGCATTCCTTATTAAACATTTAATAGATGTGTATGTATCTTTGCTAATATGTGATGCATTAAAAATGTGAGGCATGCTTATTACTTTGAATAGAGTGCAAACAATGAGCTGTAGTTCACATGTAAATTCAGTCTTTAAAAAAGATGATTGTTTTAAGTAGTCAACAAGTTAATTTTGGTAATTATAACTCTAAAAATAGAGAACTATTAAAATCAGTTCCTTTGCATTCAGTGTACACTGAATAGTTATAATTACCAAAAACAAGAATCCATTTGATTTCCTGTAATATACGTAAGATTAATGTGCCTTCAGCTGATTAAAACATTAGATGTGACTTGTGAGCTGTACGTTGCAGCTATGAATGGACAGATACAAAAAGTCATTTTAAATATTTTATTAAACACCATGCAACAGCAATCAACCTTTTTAGTGTAGATCCTTCAAAAACAAAAATTATCAACATTATACAGAATAGTGTAATGTTGTTAAAATGTTATAGCTTCTTGACGGGGCTGAAAATAAATGAAGGCCTGGGGTAGAAAAATACCATGATTATAAAAAATGCCCACAAAATTGAAGCAGGTGTGCTATATGTAAGTTAATATAAGTGACACAATATACATAGTCTGTTTTCTTAGGTCATTGATGGCCACTTGTATTTCACTGATTTTCACTTGATCTGAATGTCTCTTTCCACACTTTTAAATATACCTGCAGCTCATCAATGCCCTCCTCTGGTCTGACCTGCATGGCCAAACACTCAGCTGGTGCCAAACATTTGCATATTGCTGCCAACAATGAAAATGGTGCAAAATAAGCAAAAAAATATATGAGACAGGTAGCTGAAATGTATATTACAGAACAATAAAAGTTAGTAATTGTAGAAAAAATAGCTAATCAAAACTAATTTTGAAGTAATTGTAAAAAATAAATAAATAATTGTACTTTGAATACACAGAGGACAGAAAGATAGATCGAGGAAGAAAAAAAATCCCTGGCCACCCCCTAGTATAAGACTTCTGTGACGCTTACATTTTAGTGTCTGTAAGATTTGTTTTTGTGAACTGAAGATAGAGAGGAGTTAAAAGCTCTTTGCAAGTCATTTTTTAATGACCCAGTAGAGAAATACATGTTAAACAATCAATACAAGTATACAGTACATAACAGAATCGAGTAAACTTTAATAGCCACTTAAGATTGGTGCCATTACTATAAACAAGTGATTTTAAAGATGCATTTAAAAGGCTTCATTCCAATAATATTCAACATCAGTTCCTTTGCATTCAGCACCCACTGAACAGTTATAATTACCAAAACACAGAAGTCTCTTTGCTCTCCTGCATTGATAGAATACACATAAGAAAGCAAAAGATGCATTCATATTCAGAATTAGTAGCTGCAACTTCTACTCACAAACAGACAGACACAAAAGCCACTTTTAATATTTTATTTGAGGACCATGCAATGGCCATGAATGGCCCGCGACATTTTTACAAGTGTTGATCCTTATTACTCTATAGTACAAAATAACTTTAAGTTACTAAAAAAAAAAGAAAAAAAGATACATCTAACGTAAAAAGGGAGGGAGGGAGGAAAAAAAATCCTGCACAGCAGACTCTGGGACGCTTGTGACGGCATGTACATTTTACAACCTGCTCTGAAGAAATAAAGTTACAATAACGGAACAGTTAAAGATTTAGATTAGCAAATGAAACCGGGTTTACTGAGGGAACGCAGGTGGGGCCATGGGGAACGGCATGGACTGTGGCATCTGTTGGGGGTTGAAGGGGAACGGTGGAGGGTGGTTCATGCCGTTCTGGACAGCCCCTTGGTTGGGAGCAAACTGCTGGTTCTGATAACCTTGGTTTCCGTACCCACCAGACTGATTACCGAAGTTACCCTGTCCGTTATTGCTGTAACCCCCGCTAAAGCTACTACTGCTGCCACTATTGTAACCGCTAGATCCGTTTTGAGTTTTGTTTCCAAACACCTTCTTCTGCCCATAAGAGTCACCGTTGTGGTTGTCCTGGCCGTAGCTGTTGAAGTCCCGCCTGCCGCCAGAGTGGCGATCCCGACGGTCATCCCTATACCCTCCACCTCGACCTCCCCTTGAACGACCTGGAAGAGAAACCGGAGTTAACCCGGGATTCACAAACAGATCAGAACCAAGTAAAAAAAAGCCATACCCTTAAAGAGAGATTATGAAGGACAAAACTGGCTGAGGGTAAAGCACAGCTCTTGTATCTCACCAATTGGATTTACCTCCTCTGTCTTCGGCCATTTGGATGAGCTTGGGGTTTATGGCTTGGTTGGCCTCGCGGAGGACCGAGACGAGGTCGTGAGCCTGTTTCATGTTGTTGGGCGTAAAGAAAGTGTAGGCAGTGCCGGTTTTCTGACTGCGAGCCGTACGGCCAATGCGGTGAATGTAGTCCTCGGAATTGTTGGGGTAGTCATAGTTAATGACAAATTTGACGTCCTCCACATCTGTTAAGAGAAAACGGACGCGCCATGGCAGGAGTAGAGGAGTGCGGGTGCACACCGCCATAGCAGCGAGGATAGGAGGCGTTAGCAAGGGAAACAATGAACGATAGGTCATCGACTTACCATGCTGAGGAAAGGATGGTTTAAAAAAAAAAAAAAATCAGGACTTTAAGGATCCAAATGACAATTTACAATGTCCTCTATTAAAAGCGACAGGACAAACTGCTGCATCTTGCCAAGACAACTCGCTCAAAAACGAGACCGATTAAGGGTCTTAAATTTAAGGCTGACGCAAGATTTCCAACCAACCGGTGCTCACTTGAAAGAAAAATATGACTCTCTTTGGCAGGACTCGACATGACTGAAGCCAGCAAAAGGAGGGCACACATCGACCAGCCGGGTAATCGCATTCAGTGTGGAGGCATGTAGACTAAAGCAACTGCTCTCGACAGAAAACCGCCTAAATTTTCATAAAGCACACTTCCTTTGGAGAAAACCCCCAGTCCTTAAACTTAAAAGTTCAACAGGTCAAGCTGTTGCGCGAGAGCAGGACGCAAGTGCAACCACTCAACGGCACCGCACTCCTCCGTGGTATGCCGCCCCTTGGATTACACCCCAATCACAGAGCTCCGAACACCTCTGAATGCAATTTGATTGGCTGGCAGACAAGTAGAACTCCACAGAGGAGCTCCTTACCCCCTTCTGCTGAACCTGGACGCGTCATGCCAAGGTCCTGCCTCCAAGACTCCACCTTCAGGTGAGAGGGGCTCAGAAAGGCACAGCAGTTAAAAGGAAACGGCAGAACTGTATAGTATAGTAAACACAATATGAAGTGATAAAGGACAGATTAAGGAATAACAAACCTAGTCCTCTGGAGGCAACATCTGTAAAGAAACAGCACATTTGAATTGTTTAACTCAACGAAAACAATGCATACTCTAATTTGGTCCAAGATTTTTCGAATCTGAGGTTCAAACCCCATGTCAAGCATCCTGTCAGCTTCGTCAAGCACAAGATATGTGCATCTGCCCAGATTTGTCTTTCCAGCTTCAAGGAAATCGATAAGTCTTCCGGGTGTGGCGATGCAAATCTCGACACCTGAGATGGAGCGATGGAAAAGTCAGACATTTACCACACAACTAAAAAAGCATTTCAAAGAGATTCGAGCTTTGCTCCACTCCTACCCCTTTCCAGGTCCCGGATCTGTGGTCCTTTGGGAGCACCTCCATAGATGCAGGTGGACTTGAGACGAGAAGCTTTGCCGTACTCTGCCGCCACCTGCTGGACCTGCTGCGCCAATTCACGGGTGGGAGCCAACACCAAGCACTAAAGGGATGAAAACCATCTGATTAAACCGCTGATTTTAAGACAAAGATTGAGATTTATATTTGACAGGATGTTGAACTCACAATGGGACCGTCTCCACGCTCCAGGAATGGTTGGTGGTTTATGTGAACAACAGCAGGAAGCAGATACTTGGGGGGGGGGGGGAGATTAATTAAAACCAGTTCAAATGAGTCACAGCCAGACAGTTTACACTAGGATGGTTGAAAAGCATCATACCGCGAGCGTTTTTCCAGAGTGCAACTGGCCACCCCTGAGCTTGGATGGGAGTTGGATCAGTCCAGTTCTGTTTACTGATCACATCCATCACGTAATCTTAAAAAAAAAAAAAAAGCAACAAACAGTTTAACATTGCAGTGCTCCATATTCAATTTTAAAATGAAACACTGTGATTAACCTACTTGGAAAGTTCGCTTCATGGAACTTCACAATGGGTTTGGGACAGTCTCTACCCTTCACTGTGATCTCCTTGCTTCTCCTGTAGTGTTCAACATCTTGCTGCAATAATAAAAAAAAATAATAATAATAACATTTAAAAAAAAATAAATAAAAAAAGACAACACATCTTTAAAAACTCGAGATGACAAGAAACAGAAAACCCACACACTCCCAACTGCATTGTGAGTATACTTACAGGTGACCTCCGAGCAACTTCAGGATGCTCCTGGTAGAAGTTCTTCTCAAACTTGGGGAGCTCATCTAGGTTCCAGTGTTTTTTCCGCAGACGCTCACCGGGATTCCCAAACTTCTTGCCCTGAGGAGGTCCACCTCTGCTGCCTCCAAAGCGTGGGGGACCACTGCTGTAACTATTAGTAGATAAACCAGACATTTTAGAATATTGAGGCTCAATGACAATTAGTTGGCCAGCATTTCTGTGTATATAGGTCAAAAGTAACGTAATATCGGCATTGCCACGGTACTAACACTGCACTTCAAGTGTGATTCACACCATTTAAGAGGTTTGGTGGGAACAACATTAAAGGGCCCCCCAAAAAAACAAAGAAATTATGTGTAAAACACTTACAATCCAAAACATTGGTAGCATCATAGTACAGTAACGTGTCGGATGGCATTGTCATTACATTTTGGATAAATACACTATACAGCTATGTCGCATATCATTGGTTTAACGCGTCTAAAAAAACATGGTACATGTACTAATGTACCCATCCTCAAACAAAAACAACAAAAGGTCACTTAAGCAAAACTCAAAAGGTCTGAATAATAGATGACAAAAGCTCAGGTTTCGATTCACATCGGGAGTTCTTGTCTGCGCCACGTTTAACGTCGCTGCCATTTTATTTCCTACCGGCAGGAGACAAAGAGGAAAAACCCGGCCGGCATTTTACAATTTCACAGCCACATGGGCCGACGAGGCCTTTAAACGACATAAATCGACGAAATTGATGTTGAATTCCAATTAAACGTGACTTTTTCGACGTTTAAGAAGTGTTTTACACGTTAGAATAACAGACACTTTTTTCCGCACGATTTCTGTCGTGTAAACGGATACGCACCTACTCCTCCGCCAAATACCCTAACACCCTCGATTAAACTTAATCTCACAACAAACACGACGGCGAAACAACTCGCTTCGTCGGTAAAAACAATCGATCAACGGCCACTTAATTACGAAAATCGCATCGATTAATATTCGAAATTATCACAATTCTTCCATCGGAAAAAAAAACAACCATCTTACCCTCTGTCACGACCGCGGTCTCTGTCTGAATATCCAGGCATATTGTACTCTGAAATTATAAATTAAAAATTAAATAATCGGACGTTTTTACTTCAGTATCGCGCAGAGATGGTGCTTGTGAACGTCGAGCGCAGCGTGAACTCGACGGATTTTATAGGAAGAGGAAGTGACTTCTGGAAAACCGCTGACGTCTTTGTGACGTCCGGGCGCCGCGCATGCGCGTTTGGTGCTTAAATGGCTGTTCTTGAATCCTATGATAAGATAGTGGTATCAGATGATGGTAATACATATTAATATCTCATTGTATTTATATTGAACTGAAAATAATACCATGGTACATGCCCCCGCCCCCGAAAATGGCAGTATGATCGCACTTTTTTGCATTAGTGAACAGTACTATGACAACGCTAAATTTTGCCTTTGGATCTAATAAGCCATAACCACAGAGTTATTTATACATTTATCTTATTTATAAACGCAAAACTGCTAGTTTAGAAACCTATGAGATTCTCCAGTGGTTTGAAAATGCTAATTCTATTCGAGGTTTTAGGACAACAAATTCCAAAGCGTTTTTTTTCTTCCGGTTTTGTGGAAAAATATAGATTTCTAAAATCATTTATTCATCATTAATCATTATAGCTGTTTGAGAGAATGAACAAAGCAGGAGCTGCAATCTAGATAAAGAAAAGGCTCAAATATATCATAGTTCAAATACGTTTAAGCTTTTTTGGTATTTTAAAACTTTCCATGTGTTATTTCATAGTTTTGATGACTCAAATGTGTGTAGAAAGTAAAAACATGGCATGAATGTTCAAACTTGTGACTGGTAATTTAAGTAATGGAGTACACTTCTATGTAGTGAAAAGTTCCCATACTGTCTTTAGATTTGGTCAAACTGAGTCTGACACCTAGAAAACTTGTTAAAAGGGGAATATTTTCACCTACCCCCACTTTTCAAGAGAGTAAGAACAAATTCTTTCTTATTCTAATAGGGGCATCTGCCACCTTTGTTCCAAGATGATGCTTAACAGCCCCACCTTGGTGTCACAAAAGGATTGTGAAGCACTGTGATACTCTTTTGCCACACTATTGAACCTAATGCATCTGCAATCAAGTTTGCAAGAATATGGTAAATACATGATGCATCAAAGATGTAACCCATTAAAACACAGAATCACAGTGATCGAAATGATCCCCTCTTTAACTCAATCACTGAAATGGTTGGTTGATATATCAATGAAAAAAACAATATATTTTATGGATTATTTGGACAGTCATACAGAAGCAGGCACCCACAGTGATCCCATCAGGAAGGCACGTTTAATCAGATCTAATTACACACAAAAATAAAACACTCTTACAAAAAATGATAGTGTGTGTTACATTTAGCAAATTGCACTGGTCAGCTATGAAAGTTAAAAGTGTTGCTAGTAAATCATGCTGTAAAGGAACGACCCTCTCAAAGCCTAAAATCAACAGGGCATCCAGTCCATCTGGAGGTCTATTTAACTATACAAATAAAAAATGTTAAAAGAAGAGAAGACGAAGAGATCTTTATGTGTGCACCAGATTTAAATGAAACATATAATCATTCAGTCTATAAAGAGTTTGGTAAATATATATATTTGTTGCCTATTATGTACAGCCATTATATAGTGTGTGTGTGTGCAAATTGTATTTTTTTTCTTTCAAATCTAATTAAATTAAAAATAAATGACAGTCAGTGACCCACATATATGAACAATATTCTATAACTATACAAAGCACCATCCCCGAATATTTAACTGATCCATCCAGAGGCTTTTTTATTTATTTTTTTTTCCACCTTCTTTCACACTCAAATTTATAAAAAAGTAACAAAAGATGTGTAGCTCATTTTCAGCGTATGCAAACTCTTAACAGTCCATGGTCACAGAGGATTGCTATAGACAGGCAGCACCTCAGAAACATTCAACAATATATATATATATATATATATATATATATATATTTATATATATATATAAAACCGCATTTGTTTATTTATGCAGTTTCTTTTAATAATCCTGAAGGAACAGGGTTTCAAGCTGTGCATTTTGGAGGCTTACAAAGAGCACACGAGACATGCTTTTATTGTTTTCTGCTAGATTTACACCTAAAGCTGATGTATTTCTATAAAAGAATTGTTTCTTGTTCTTTAGTACAGCGATCCTCCTTTCAGTTCGTCTGTAACGCTTACTGAAGGCCAGTGACATTTGTGATGGTAAAACAATTCAGTAAATTGGTACTACAATGGGTTACTAATAAATTACAAAAATAACAAGTAATACGGACACTTCTCTCCCTTGATTTCCATGAACGGGTAAACAGTTGCATTTCTTCTTTTAGGAAATAATAATAATTCTAATAAAAAACAGGCCCAGAATATAAATGGTAACAATATAATGGGAAGGTATGAAATGGAAGACACTTCACATCTCACTAACATGCTCATACATATGCATCATATTTAAATCTATTAAAGGGTTCGATTGACATCGGAGACAGATTAGAATACAGTTTACCAAAAAGTTGACACCAGTAATGCAACATATTAAATTGTTTTTCTTAACAATTTTTCTAAAAAAAAAAAAAAAAAAAAAAAAAAAAAAAAAAAAAAAGAGAGATTTTGAA